TACATAGGCTACAGTAAACATCCATTTTGCATTCCACAGAAGAAAGTAATTGAAGTTCGGAAGTAGTAAACAATGACAGAATCATGAAAAGTTTCACAATGACTGTGTTGTAAGATCATTATTAATACATAATTAGTCCTGAGCTCTCAGCTGAGAAATTGCTGATGTGACGCACTGAATTATAGATCTGGATGTGTGCTTCCCTGATTGCATCAGCAGTTTGTTCCATTGAAATGTAATTGAGTCTGATTTGTCAAGTTCGTTGGGACAGAAACTTCTTGGGACTATGATGAATAATCTGTAGGAAATATATATTTTACTTATAATGTTTGTTTTTTTTATTCAGAGATATTGACCTGAAAATGCAATATCTGGTTTTGCATGCTCACACAATGTGACCTTGATTTCAGTGTTTTATCGGCAGAAGATCCATGTACAATGCGAGTAAGAAGCAGAAATATTATTGATTTAAATTGCCCCAAGAGAAACAAGTCAATTTTTTCCCCCGCAGTTAAATAAGCAATGTTTTCTGACGGAGGAGAGACGAAGGAAGAATTCCACAAAGATCATAATATTGATTCAAAAGTAAGATGGTATTGACACTTAGTAAAGTGATGTCATTATTAGTATAGTTAGCAAAAAAAAAGAGAGTCTAGAGGTTTCAGGCTTGACATTTCAGTCACGGCCACCCATCGAATAGACTTGATGGATCATTAACCTTTGACCTCAATAAAGTCAGTTGAGATGATTAATTATAGGTTGATCTAAGTCCATTGAGCTGATGTTAGTGAACAAGAATGATGAAGGTATAAAATATGCTACATCACCCGATCAATGTAAGTTTCTTGTTAGTTTCTGGTGTTGCTTGACTTTTCATAGCTATATATTTGTAGTCATGTGACTTTTCACATGAATGCAAATATGTTTCAAAATTATGGGATTTTAAAAAATCATTTTATTTTACTGGAGACGAGTGTGTGATGTAATATACTGTTTTAAATAGCATGCATCATTATTGAAATCTTATCAAATAATTGTGTGATTTTTTTTTGGTTGTGACTGAGTGTCTTTATATTGTTGCATCTTCATCTGAACTGCAAGGTCAGCATCAACTAACCATATATGTTGTGATGAGTGAACAGATGTCATGTCTGATATCCATGCCGAGTCATCCATTAAACACATGCATGCAATACGGAACATGCACTGCCATTTCCTAAAATGTTCATTTACCTTGACCACATGCTCCTGATAGAAGATTATTTGCTAACTGCAGGGACCCCACAGCTCTGCCAGCAGCACCTGTATGTTGGTGAGACAGCTGGCAGACTGTATGTCTGGACAAACAGTCACGGTCAGTCTCACCCGTCCTCCCTGCAGGGCTCGTCAAATGAAATCTGATCAAAACACAACACCAGTCCAATAGCAGTCCAGATGGAGATTATGTCAGATTTGGATTTTATTGACTTGACAAATCTATTTGTCTGTTATCTGACATAGTCTTGTTATAAATTGATACATAAAGAAAAAAGAAGCCATCACTCTAGTCATACACTCCAGTCCAATCCCAGCTAACAGGGAACGTTCCCAGAACATTCACTAACGTTCTTTAAAAGTTGTGTAAATGTTAGGACAAAACGTTATTAAAATAATGTTTTCGGAACATTCATATAACATTATTAACGTTCTTGTAACGTTGAGAGAAAACGTTCTTAGAACAACGTTCTTGGAACGTCTTTATCACGTTATTTGTATTTGATGAACGTTCTCATTACGTTGATAAAAAACGTTCTTAGAACAACGTTATCGGAACATCTTTATCAGGTTATTTGTGTTTGATAAACGTTCTCATAAAGTTCCAGCAACATTATGCTAACCTTAGGATAACGTTCTAACAACATTATGCTAACGTTCCAGCAACGTTCTGCAAACATTAAGACACCGTTCCAGCAACGTTAAGCAAACTGGACATTTCCACGTTTTTAGAACATTTTAAATTAACGTTCCCACAACCAAAATGGAACGTTAGAAAAACGTTCTCAGAACCTAACTTTGTTAGCTGGGATGTCACATGATCCTTGGGTATACTAAAATGCTGATTTCATGCACAAGAATTTGCAGATTTGACTACTGGCTGCTGCAGAGCAAGAATGGACTTGCTACTGCTAATACTGATACACAGGCATGTGAGATAGCTGTAAATAGAGTAGATAGATAAATCCCATAGCAGATGTAGGCAGGTGGAGCTGGGGGAGGTGGAGGATTTCAGCGGGACTGCTGCGCACTGCAGCAAACAATGTACCAGACTGCTTTTTGAGCAAGCAATCATATTGACTGCAGGATCAGCAGAGGCCAACCGATGCCATCCGATGATGATGTGATTTCTTGTAGATTGTATGTAAAGGACCCAGAGGTGTAAAGTCCAGGTTCAGAAAGTAAAAGTCCTCCTCAGTATTTTGTTCCAACCATCTGGATTTGCTAATTAGCACAGTTTTTCAGCCAGGAGATTAGACACTAATTATCGAGCTGTTGGAATAAACATATGGCAGGACTTTTACTTTCTGACCCCTGGACTTTACACCTCTAAAAGGACCTATAAACTAAATACTGATAAACAACGAGTAACCCAGATAGCAAACTGACATTGAATCAACGTGGAAACATGACATCGAAACAACGTTGATCTGGCATTGTTTTGCTCATCGAATTAACGTTGAACCAACGTCAGACGCGTCATTCTTCAAAACTAACGGAAAATCAACTTGAAATTAACGTTGTTTCAACGTTAGGAAAGCAAACCAATTGCGTCGATTTTCATTTAGCTTTGAAGAATGCCGCGTCTGACGTTGGTTCAACGTTAATTCGATGAACAAAACAATGCCAGATCAATGTTGTTTCGATGTCATGAGAGATGTCGTTTCCAAGTTGATTCAATGTCAGTTTGCTGTCTGGGAATGTTGACATAATCATACGGATTAAAATGTAACTTGTCAATAACTTATTAACTGAATTGAAAACTTTTACAAATTAAATAATTAGTTGGATAGTTCACCCAAAAACGAAAACTCTGTCCTTCCAAACATCATGTATGAGTTTCTGTCTTCTGTTGAACACAAAAGAAGATATTTTGAAGAATGTTGGTAACCAGACAGCATAGACATATACTGTACACTAGACGTCACCTTGGCTACGGCAGTTCATTGGAACAAATGCGTCAATAGAGCCGTCATCTTGAAACAGGGGAGCCCCTCCACTTTATTGCATCTGTGTCAATAGACACAGGTCTAACGGAAATAAAATCACCATAAATCATCGTTTTTTTTTTTGTTTTTGTTTTTTGTTCCAACGGTCAGACATGTATTTATCATTGATTCCAGAATTTTTTTAAAAAAACATTCTTTCTAGTTCAGATTTCATCCTTGAATATCATACGCTGCACAAAAGTCCGCCACCATCAATGAATTCGAAGTAAAGGCAGAGTTACCTTGCTACTTCCTATAAGACCGCTGTTCCAAGATGGCGGCAGTTTTGACGCATGCTTAGAACCCCAAGTTGACATCTAGTGTATATGTCTATGACCAGACAGTTGAAAGTAGCCATTGACTTTCATAAAAGGAAAAAAGTTCTATGAAAATCAGTGGCCACTGTCAACTCTCTGGTTAGTGGTTACCAACATTCTTTACAATATCTTATTTTGTGTTCAACAGAACAAAGAATCTTATACTGGTTTGCAGCAACTTGAGGGTGATTAAATGATGACAACATTTTCATTTTTGGGTGAACTATCCCTTTAAACTTGTAAAATGTCAAAAAATAAAGAGTCTGTACGTGAGCTGTTAATAGTGAGTTGACCTATGCTAACAGAGCTAGGTTAATAGTTAGCCTATGTGTGTACATCCCTATGTTCCCTGTCAGCTGGAAATATGCACTTGACAAATCTTTGAACCATCTGAACTCAGTAAAAGTTGAATGAATGATTAATCCATTCACTTTTCTGACGCTGTTGGTCGGTCTGCTTTGCGTGGATATCATTTAGGCCTATATCCGTTACATAATTTAACATCTGGTTATGTTACTCATTGACAGGAACTACCTTGGACTTCTGGCACAAAATAAAGAGTGCTGATATGATTGTTTCATTCAACAAATTATAAATGCGTAAATTATAAAAGTCACAATTTTATGCTATTTAGTGAAAAACAATAAGTTACATATTTTGCCTAATTGTGGTTTCTCATATAATGTTCAGATTAGGTTATTTTCTGTATTTCAGTTTGTTTTCTATCTTTAGATTCAGCTCAAATATAAAAATTATGCTTCAGACACTGGTGTAAATGCATCAGCGTATTTAGATTTAGAGTCACACCTTTCCAACACTGAGTCTGCCAATCCATCTCCAAGCCACAGTATTAGGGCCTCAAAGCTCTTAATATATAATGTATACAGTAATCACACAGCTCAGCAATGTGCACAAACACGTAAAAGTGTTTGCTATTTTACCATAGTCTAAGTCACGCTACCTCGCATAGACTGATGTGGGTAGACTATGTGTTTAGTGATTATTTTCTTGCCACAGTAAAAATGCAGCTTTATACAGAAGAACTATTTGTTCAAGCTTTCTTAAGTCAGAACATTCCCTCTTGAAGAGATACTTCATCGATAGCTTTTTTGTGTGTGTTTTGTAGAAGAAAGTCATAGCCAAGATTGGATGGTTGAGTAAATGATGACAGAATAAAACATTTTGGGTGAACTATGTGACAGTTCTCAACCAAGTTTTAGTTACCAGTAGATCTAACACAAAATACGCATTATAGCCTATACATTTTCTTCACTTTCTTCACGGTTGTCTGCATTTTGAGTAAATTGCATTTATTTTAGTGTCTGAAAGTAAAGTATCTTGGGGGACAGGGTCGTATAATTTCTTGGAAAGGATTATTTCCTGCTCTCACCATTAATGCAGCCAATGAGACGAGACCATTTGAGGGGTTATTCTAGGCTATCTCTTACTTATCTTTTCTCATAGAACAAATGCACACTTTTTCCAGGTGCTGTCAGCCTGTGACTACTTGTGACTGAGATCATGCACACCAAGGAAAACTCATGGTAAATTTGAGATTTATGTCATTGATATAATTATATATACCAGAGAATGAGTAAAGGAACACATTTGATGAAACCATATTTACATTTTCTGTTTACTAAAAGAGTCAGTTGATAATGTAATTTGGATTCACTGTTGTTATCTTAGAGTAAGATCCTTTATGCATTTAATCAAATCAGTAAGGCCAATAAAATATCAGTCCTGCCAAACACAACTGAGCAACTGAGTCTGATTATCTTCAAATGAGATGCAAATTAGATTGAGCCTTGATAACTGCATGCTGTAAACTTCTGTTTAGGACTCATCAAAACTGCTTCTAGAAACTGTAAATGTGTCCACTGTTGTGATTTCTACTTAGCTTTTTACCAGCTTTAACTACATTATGCCAGCTTTATATTCTCAGCCAGCATATTTTCAACTCTCAAGATGGTCTCTGTGGTTTCATAGTTAATTTCTGTGCTATGCCATTTTATTTCCATAACTGACTCCGGAAATCTTGGGATTTAATCAAAAATGATGAAAAATGATTTCAGTGAAAGTTTGATTGTTCTTAAATTATGGTGGAATTTAATGTCTAATATGTGGTGTATTGATATCGGTTTATGATATGATGCTGATTGCATAAAAATGTCTTTATGATCTCTGAAAGATTATCATGTTTCTCATTGTAAGCATTGGCTGATAATCAGATGATTGTTTATTGTTTATCAGACACAATTTGAGCAGTTATCAATGTGACCTGTTCTGGTGTGTCTTTCTTTCTCCCGACTCAGCTGCTGTTCCTTTGAGGACTGCAAACTGACTACAGAATGGCTGCTGAGCAGGACGAGACACAGGCCAAAGATAGCTATCGTGTGCGGCTCTGGACTGGGACTTCTCGCAGACAGTGTCTCAAATAAACAGATCATCCGCTATGAGGACATTCCCAATTTCCCAGTGAGCACAGGTAACCGGATTCATGGAAGTGTATCAGAGCTGAATTAATGGAACAGTTTACAACTTTCTTTCTTGTTGCTCTCCCCTAGCAATGCTACACAATACATTTTAGTTGCCATATTCAGTAAATCAAAGGATGAAGTCGTGGACATTCTCATGTTAATTTACATAGTGTGGTCATTTCAGTCAGCATATTGAGTCTAAACAATAGCACTGGACAGATACAGGAGTTGTTTGAGGGAATCTGAAAGCACAGAGGTTTTCATTCTGTCTCTCATTGTATTGTATGGTTAACAAATTATGCCCAGCTCCTGGTAATATGAGCTACAAAATGAATAACTACTGCCTATGAATAAAATATTATGACTGGAGCAAAAATAGCCCCTAATATCTGCCACAGGGAGTTCATACTATGATATCTTTGACAGGTTTAAATATTAATATGGTGAGGTGAATAATCTTGGGAAGTGTTCAGATGCATTAAATGATATTTTCACTACCTGTAGCGTGTGTGTGTGTGTGTGTGTACGTGTGTGACTGATGGCTGGAGAATAAGAGCCCTTGTAAATAAGGGAAAGTATAATAAGGGTCTTAGAATCCATTTGTGTTGTCATTCTTTCTCTAATCCACTTCATAATTTAAATTTGCTGGTTTAGACTAACAGAGAAATGACTGACAGTTTGAATAATGAGAATGAACTATGGATGCTCTGTGCTCATTTTTTAAATAATAAATTCTTCACAATGCCCATTGGATCATTCATTTAAATCAGCAAGTGTCAAATCAATATCAAATCAGTCAAAATCAGACAAAATATGGACAAAATACATAATATATTCACACATAACTGCAACAAGTAGTAATTTGATGCATTTTAAGAAGTGATTATATACAATTATAATATTCATATGATTATAATTAATTATCATTCATATTGCATTCAAGTGCATATTATTATTTTGTATATTTTTTATTATATTAACCTATATATATATATTAATATAATAAAAAATATACAAAATAAAAACATGTTTTTATTACTTTCAAAATATGTAGTTCATCTTGAATGTGTCACTTAATTTTTAAATAAAACTAATTTCGATAATTAGTCATTTTTAAGCATTACTAAATTTATCTCAGAACTGTTCTCATTACACTCACTGTTTTGCCAACTTGTGACAATCTGATTTTTAAAAAAAACTCAGGCGGCATGCACTGAAACGTTCATTTGCTCATTCATTTTTTTTTTTACAATGTTGCAGGAAATACATTTCACGGTGAGTGTAATAAGCCCCCTCTCTGAATGAGTTTTTTTCTCAGAGCCATTCATCAATGCTCGTGGAAGAAAGAGGGAATCGGCCCCTGGAAAAACAGAGCTATTATTCCAGCAGAACCTCATTACGCTGCAGGTTTTAGGGCCAAATACATCTCATCGGCCAAAATTCAAGGGTATATTTACATAAGCTTACATTCACTTGGCTCAGTCGGCCTGTTCCCATGTCAAAGTAAGTTCCTGAAGCCACAAACAAACTGCAGCCTCCTACTGGCTCACAAGTTAACGTTAGAAAACATTGTTTGCCCCACCTGTTTCTTGATTGCCACCTCCACCTGTTTCTTCCATTCTTGATGACATCAGCAGTCATCCCTAAGCTGGAGGTATTAACTTTTTTACGATTGTTGAATGAGCAAAGTGAACATGCAAATGCAAATCAATAAACTTCTAAATACAGCCAAGCCAGCAGGATCTCTTAGACTTGGGGACAGTCATTAGTCAATTAAAGCCATATTCTGGAAAAGGATTAGATGACATCTGTTATCAATGGCAGCATCTGACCTTTTATTTGCACATTACAGAGAGGTTTTGCATTAGATGAATAGGATGTGGTAGGCAGAGAGCAAAGAGTAAATTCTTTACAGCAGGAGGTTCTTTATGGGGTGAGACAGCTTTAGAGCCCAACACACTGCATTTTTATCATTAAGATGCTTCACACTGTGGTTGTGGTAGAGTAATATTTTTTTATTTTTCACAGGGAAATATTTACAAACCAATTTTACTACGCCAAATGTGGCATTAAACTAAAACTATTTGCATGATTTACTAAAGACCTGCAGTGAAAAATTAGAGATGGAAATGTGTGGACAGTTGTTTTTGCATCTGGCCTTATTTCATATGCATTTTTAAGAGTTTTGCTTTCAGTTTTAAAGTTTATGGGAGGACAGTATTTAAATAAATCATGCCATGTGAGGTTTGCGGTCTATTTGAGCCATTATTTAACACCCAAAACTTAGTTATTTGAAATGCTGAAATTACATTGTGTCTCCCTTGATCTTTTACCTCCAAAAATTTCTTTGGATATGATCACATTTATTAAATGATGCAAAACAGTGTTTTGAACTACAAAATATTAACATAAAAAAAATAAAAAATAAAAAATACAAATAACAGGGTTCCAGCACCTTCAGTGCTTGGACCCCTCTATCTATCTGTCTGTCTGTCTGTATATATAGATTATATTATACAAAAAAAAAAAAAGAGTAAGCATGTTTTTCACTTAAATGTTTGTCTCTTTATGCATAGTTCCTGGTCATGAAGGGTGCCTGGTGTTTGGTCAAATCAAAGGCGAGTCCTGTGTCTTCATGCAAGGAAGGTTTCATCTGTACGAGGGTTACTCATTGTGCAAGGTGAGCTCAAATAAACAGTTTGATGCCTCTATTGCAGGTGCTACCACAGCCATATTGTTGTTTATCTTGCCCTTAACTGATTTAACTTCATCTTGCCTTTTGATACGGTTCTTAGCTGTATCCATTTATAATACTTCAAGCACAGTGGTTTCTTTACTTGAAGCAAAAGCTGTATCACAGATCCCGACAGACTCTGTGGCATCGATGTCGTGTAAAGTATTGTGGCGTCTGACGTGCGTTTCAAGCAGTGGCCTTGGTTCCTTTTAGCATCACCTCAAGGACGAGTAAACTCATTGTAAACAGCTCCTATTTGTTAAAACAGAGAGGAGCTGTTGCCTCCAGTATGGGTCATTAACTTTATCTGTCCCAACCAGGAGATGCATGAATACCGAGGCTGAATGCTGAAAAAGCAGGTGTGGAGGAGAAACAAACTACTCTGCTCTGTCACTCGCGTATCAAAGCAGTTCATTGACAATATTCAGCTTCCTCTCCTAGTCGTTTGTGAACAGGAATCTGAATGCATAAGCATGTTGACTTTGAAAAATATGACATTAATCATGAACACATTTTCACATCGGTTAAAAGTCCTTGTTAATTTATAAGTTTTCAAATGTTAATTTACCCCGGAGTTCAACCAAGCAGCATGATTTGTGTGAGCTCTTGGCTTTCTCTCCATCAAAGTCTGAAGGGGAATAAATTATCTGTTGCACATGGGGCCAGACACTTTTTACTAATTTACCAAGGAATCTGCAACCTCTTGCCCTGGAGTGGGACTGTCACTGTAATTGCAGCCCTGACAGCATGACACAATGCATTACAATCAGTTGTCATGGCCACCATGCCCTCTACAGCCAGCCAAAAGCTTTTTACTCTTAATGAGGCTTGGGCATTAAATCCATCAGCCCCCTGTATTATCAAACTCGAGCTTTTTACAACACTATTTTGATGGCTGTGGCACATAAACACACACTGCAGCCCAATTTGCATATCTGTCCTAAATAGGACGCAGGAAAACAATTCGTGGTATGTCAGGTCAAATCAGGCAGATGTTAAAAACAGTGAAGCAAATGTCCTTATTATAATATTTTATGATGACATTTTTACCCATGACATTACCAGCACAACATCCTAACATTTGGGCAAGGCGTACATACAGTATTTTTTTCATTTACTGTTTCTATTAAAAAAAAATGACAAGGATTGAGCAGAAGAACCATGGCATTGGGAATCCAATTACGTATTGTAAGGCAAGGCTGCCAACTTTTCAGTTTAGTCTGGAGTGAGAATAATTAATATAATTTTTATAATAATGTTATAGCCCTATAGTTTTTAAGGATAGAAAATTTAAATACATATTTTAATTCAATAATATAGTGGATATATTTAGCAAAATGCTCCTCTGTAGAGTTAATTCTTCAAGCTAAGTAACATAAAATGGTCATTGATTGGCTTTACGTGACATATTGTTCACAATAAAAGTTTTATTCACGTCTTTCTGCCGTTGAAACACTCACTGAATGACCATGAGATACATTTTACCAAGCTGTACTGTCTCTTTCAGCATACCTTCTGATGTTCATTCATGTTTATTTGGTGCTAGGAGCACAGATACAGCGATATGCCACATTTGTTTAAATTTTATAATAAAATTGACAAAATTTGAAAGCCGAGACTGTGTTTCATATCAAAAGTAACCTGCTCTGTCGTTGCGTTGTCAGTGTCCTCTTTGCCAATTTAGAAGCTCAACCAATCTGGTTATTAAATCTTTTGTCAAACAGTGACAGCTGGTTTTGAACCTACTGTTCATTTTGCTTTAGCTGACTCATATCCGTGAGTCACTGTGCAAATCGGTGCCAACTCACTGTATCCTAAAATTGGACCCAACTCATTTCCATTACAGTTTATGATGCAAAACTTGCTTTCATGTTTGCCCTTGGTAAAACAAACAGTTATATATGGTTTCTTTAAGCGATCTCACTGTTGTGGAGAGCTGTGCTTTGGATGGTAATTGGACAGTCGAGATTAGTTAGCCCTTCACTGACCTCTGTTTCTCTGCAGCAAGTAAAGCAGCTTTATGGTGTTCAGATGCATTTAGAGGGCTTGTCTCAAATGTACACATCTCTAGACTTTATTGGGGGTTTTTCATCCCACTATACCCACTTCTGCGTTCTGTTGTTCAGAGTTAAAAAGAGAGTTGTGTGGCCTCATAATATGTGTCATTGAGCAGTTTAAGTCATCTGATGTTTCCTAATATTTATGCTTTACTGTATGTCAGTTCACTCAACAGTAAACTGAACCTGTGCGATTTTCATGCCTCTCACTCACACCACAGACTCTCGCTCTCTTGTTACAAAAGCAATTGACACTATCTTGCATCTCAGTTACTGATTTAGTGGCAGTGACCTCAGAAGATTTCTGTATTAATATTTACACGCAGACTTATCATACATAACAGAAACCAGGCGTATAGACATTTTTTAAAATATTCAAATGATGTAATTTGCATACTACTTCAGTGAATCCAAACACAGACAGCACGCGCAAATAGCTTATGACGCAATCAGCGAGTGCAATCCATTCTCAGTGAATTCCCTGAAATTGAAATAAATGCCAATTCATGATACAGTGCCAAGAGACATACAAGATTGTCTTATAGACATATTATCATTATTACTCTGTAATAGTGCGCATTAATCAAACTGCGGGTGACGGGTAACCTAATGCAGCACCTAGACCAATTCTCTCAGGAGAGTTAAAGACTCAAATATGAAGCGATTTGATCTCTGAGAGTTTACGTTCCACAAAGAAGTCATCTTTGATTTAAAGGGTACCAAACTGAGGCGTATTTTCTGGTCCACATCGGCGATCCGTCTGTGTATATCTGTAATGGCCGTGTTCCTCGTGGAAGCCCCACACGACACGTCTACCCTGGTTCGTCAGCTGGAGAGCAGGATGACAGACTGTGACATCCCTCTTGAGCTGTGCTGTACTGTGAGCCCACAAGTACATTATTCATCTCCTGCTCACACTGACACGTCCCTTAATGGCTCCCTGCTCTACACTCCTATATTTATCCCATTTGGAATTACTAAAGCTTATTTAATACCTGCCAAAAACTGTGGTTAAGGCACTGTGGGGTACCATTGCACATTTAAGCATGTGGATATTGTTACCCACGTGGTCTTCTGAAATGAAAGAAGGCTTTTTTTTGTCCAATTGCCCATAAATTTGATCAAATAAATTTAAACTTAAATGTATAAAAATAAAAATAAAAATATATATTCTATTTGTTTTGCTTTATTTCTGTACTGTCAGTTATCTTCTTATCCAAATTTTGAGAAGACACACCTGCCACTTGATTTTTTTTATTCCATTAAATACTCTGAAGGGGCCAATAGGGGCAACATATACCCCTGGTTTCACAGACAAGGCTTAATCCTAGTCCTGGACTAAAAATGCATGTTTGAGTTGTTTTTTAACTGAAAACAACTTGCACTGACAACTCACACGGACATATTTTAAAAATGCAGTCCATTGTTTTGTCTCAAGAAACATGCCAGTAATGTTTTTTCTAAGGTACGTTTATAAAAGCTACTTGTTTGTCCTAATTAAAGAGAGCTAATCCTCTGTTAAACCAGGCATAAGTATCATTGAAAGTGTAGATAATATGTCAGAGAGATCCTGCTGTATAACAGCTTGTGTTTTATGGGGATGTTTCCAGGTCACGTTTCCCGTGCGGATCTTCAAGCTGATGGGTGTGGAGACCATTATCGTAACAAACGCCTCTGGAGGTCTTTGTCAGGATTTCAAAGTGGGAGACATTATGGTCATTAAGGACCATATTAACTTGCCGGGGTTTGCTGGACAGCACCCACTGTGTGGACCCAATGATGAACGGTACGCAGATAAGGGAGATAAAAAAGCAGATTAAAGTGTGAAAGAGTGAGAGTTATTATTTTACAGAATTGTTTTCCATTTTATGAAAAAGATGGTGCATGTTCTTTCTTGACTTCCTCAGATTTGGGATCCGGTTTCCTTGTATGTCTGATGCTTACAGCAAAGACTTGAGGAAATTAGTTTTGGACATCACTGCTGAGTTGGGCTACTCTAATTTTGTGCGAGAGGGAGTCTACTGTATGGTTAGTGGACCCAACTTTGAGACCATCGCAGAGGCACGCATGCTGCACATCCTGGGGAGCGACTCTGTTGGTATGGACAGTCACAATACACAAAGGGGAAAACTGGCAAAAACGAGTATGAAAAAAATTCTGAGCTGAAAATGCGCAACTCAAGTTGTCAAAAACATGTCAGATAATCTGTGACAAAACATCTATTGGTCATATTTTAAAAATAATGTACAGTCCTTTCTTAATGTATGGTTTTTCATATAAAGAGGATAATATAGTTTATAAATAATAAAGTCATCCCATACTGCATCAGGTTTCCTCTCTCTGAGGAGTTTGAGTGGTTTAACTTGCTGTTTTCTTTTGTGTGTAGTGTCTTTGCTTTAATTGGTGCTTCAGGAAAATGATAGCTCGTTAATAATGATGTGCCTGCCATATTAGCAGACCTGCCATATTAATTGAAGGAAAGTAGGCCCACCCAAAGGGACAAACTAGCCCACTTCAATCAATGTGATTATGTTAATCAGTGATATGAATAACTCTCTTGTCCATATGATTGGCATAAACTATACTTTCTCCTGGTCCTCTGATGAGTTGAATGATGTCTTAGATAATTAGACTCCGATTACCAAACGGCAGCAGTGTGGGGTATGCGCTAAGTAGGCTCCTCTAGCAAGACCGGTCAACAACTGGTTCCTGTATGCGTCCTCCCGCCTGTGTATACATCAGGACCCCAATAGTCCTCATTAAGTGTTACATGAGACCCAGACCTGTTTTGTTTTATTAATGAACTACCTACTGTGCCAGAACAGAAATGTAATTAAGAGTCTCTCTCTCTTTCTCTTGAAAGGCATGAGCACAGTTCCTGAGGTGACGGTAGCCAAGCATTGCGGACTGCGGGTCCTTGGCCTATCGCTCATCACCAACAAGGTTTCTCTTGACTACAGTCGTGAGGAAAAAGTGAATCATGAGGAGGTGCTGCAAATCAGCAAGATGAGAGCTGAGATGCTCCAGAACATGCTCATGACCTTCATCGCTCGCTCTCACCAAGTGGAGACCATCAACAACAATTGCATCTATTCAAATACCGTCTAGGGTCAATCAAACCAATCATTGGCGGTGTGGAAGTCATGTGATTGGAGAAAATAGATCATTCTAAAGGCTCTATGTTATGTTTAGCCTTTATTTATCTGGTTGTGCTCTTGGAGAGGATGTATTTGATCTCCAGTTGTCTTGTTGACTTTTCAATATGAAAATACAAAAAATAGTGAATAAACCTCCTTATAGTTGAAATGAAACGTTTGACAACTCAATGGGAACATGTTTCAAACCATGTTTATAAGGCAAAAACAACACTCTGTTTCAGAAGATATGGTTCTTAATCTACATGTTAAAGCAACACTAAGTACGATTTTTTTTTTACCTTAAAATAATGTTTCCAAAATCGTTTCAGTGGTTCATTAAAGGAGTATTTCGCAAAAATTATGGACCAATATTTCAAATAATTGTTACCGCAGTGTCCAACCACACACTGGTTGTATTTGTATGGTTTTCTCAATATCCCCTGCTGGTAGATGCAGTGACTACATGCAGTTAAAAAAAAAGCATCTACCTCCTTTGACAGACATTTAAATCCATAATCCTGTGGATAATTAATAATTTTCTAGTCCTTCAGATCTGAGGATTTCTTGTAATTATAAATGTTCAAAGGACGGTAAATTTAACTTGTGTAGAATTCCTGACATCAAAATGAATCCTGTCAGAGTGGCATAATTTCAGTCGGGCATTAAGATCAACACTGAAAGTGTTAAACTGAATACAAAAGACTGCAGCAGGAAATCATCTAAAAGTTTTCATTAGAGTTTACAACTTAATTATGTATATAGCATTTTCGCATTAACCATTTATTGCATCACTGAATTTTCTATTATTGTGAGCCTATGGACAAAGATTAATTTGTTTTCAAAACAATATGAACCAAACTTTAAAAAAAAAATCATACAAAGTGATTTTGCTGACTCCTAATGTTAATCAAAAATTAATCAAACTAAATATTAATGACTAAAATGTTCAGAATAGCAGATTAAAATTAGTGCATCATCTACTTGGTCAGTCTTTTAAGAGCATAATGACCATGTTAACAAACACTGGTGAATTTGAATCATATAGACTGCATCTCAACATCTGGAGTATAGATGAGTTGTTTATGTGCAGGTATTTATGTGATAAGGTCAGTTATGGTAAAAATACTAGCTTGGGGCAAACTAGTTTGAATAACTCATAATTTACTTTCATTGTTGCTCTTCTAAGATGCAACTTTCAGGGTCAAAAAGTCATTCTTCTAATTAGCCCCATCTTATAATGTGTATTCTTATCAATAAAATGGATTTTTACTTAATCAAGAGTTTTGACTTGTGTTGATGTTGCGGGCATAACCTTCTTTGATTTTCCTTGAATGTCAAGTGCAGAAACCAAAAGTTCACTGGGCCCAAATTCACATTCCTGTTTTTTTGGAGTCAGCATGAAATATTGGTCCTCTCTTAACAACCTTTGGGTCTTTGAAAGTTTTGCAAGAAAGACGGATCTAAAACTCTTTTCAGACTGTTAAATCTCTCACTAAACATAAGGCTGAACTTCGACCATTTAAGCTCACAGCCTCGCACATTAGCAAGGACGAAACTGCTTATTGTGGAATAATCAGAGAAATCCAGACCTGCTACTTCTTCCCAAATGTCATCATGTTTAAAGGGTGTTCCAAAAACACCCAGGACAAAATGTCTGTGTGGATGCTGATACACCTGTCACAGATTTGATAGCGCAATAGGCAATTTGCTGCTATCTGAGGGACAAAAAGTACTTCATTTATGTTAGACGTCCAGGCTAAGACCGTCTGTAATTGGACTTCCTAAAAATAGCTGGCAATTCATTTGGCAGCAAAGCTGAATAAGTTTGTAAGAGAGAGATACAAATGATTGAAAAATAGTAACGCAAGCATTTTTTACATCACAATGATTTCAACAAAGACATATAGACAGATATATTTTGAAAAAACTAAGTCAAATTTGCAAGTAAGGAATGCATTTTAAAATAGGTACATCAAGTGATCAAGACCAACATGACATCATGACTTTTACATAAACATACACACCACTTTCAAGTCAAGTGGCAAACATGTTAGGCAGGACTTGATTTTGTCCATTGGGAATTGATTGGATCATTGTATCATAGTTGTTTGCTATTGCTATGATTGACAGGTTGTCCCACCTTCGCGCCAGTAAACACATCATCAGAGAAGAGAAGAGGGCTGCTTCCGAAAACTTTAGGCAGCTGAATTGTTGCCAACCCTATCAGGCAATGGATATTTTCTCGTTAGAAATAACAAGTGGAAAACGGTTAAAAACGTACATTTACACACCAACTGCAACTTTCAGACTCTTTCAGATCTTTCTTCTTGGCTAAACTGTCATGAAAAGAAGTTTGCAACCCTTATCGCAGGTATCATATGGCGAATATCTCAGCATCTGAGGTGTGGATGAGTTGTTTTCATGTGCAGTTGTCACTGACTGTTTGCTAGGTGTGATGTAAGCTCCTCACAACAATACTCAGTTGGAGCGTTTCATAATGGCCTGGGCTCACACTACAACTGCCAGCCAACCCATCTGTGTGTCTATACAGCAATTAGTGACCAACACAACACACATATGTCACACTGTCCTGCTTCTCTTTCTCAGAGACATTGTGTTAGTCATTGCCTAAAAGTCACAACAGGTTGATCAGGAGTCTGTATTAACTCATTGGTTCTGTGTTTTGAACCACTACTGTTCTGAGAGCTATAGGGACCTAGGAAACAACAGTTTTGTGATAACATATGGATTCATCATTAGCATGTCTAATTTAAGTTTATTTTACTCACTCTGCCAGACTACCAGGGAAGTGCTGTGTGTGGTGACGATGGTGAACTGTCTTTCTATCTCTCTGTGCCTGCCTACCTGGCAGCCAGGATGTCATTACAGAGGACCAGAGACCCAAGCGTCATTTGTCTGGGCAGAGCTTCATTACTTAACATATGGAGAGCAATTATCTCATGGGTCATTGCTCATTTTTACAAATTAATGTTCTGTAAATATGAGAAAACCAACAAGACAACCGAACAAGGAGATAATGCACAGAGGCAAAAGGAAAATCAAATCCATAAGTTCAGCACTGATAATTTATACACAAAGCACAAAGCTACTGAATTGTGAAGGCCAAGCAATTGTAAAAGCCATGTGATTGAACTGCAATCACATTGCAAGTTTATCTTTGAACAAAATATGTTCTCTATAAATAACGTATGTAGTTCTGTCACATAAACAAAAAAGACATAGGGCTAGCTCACTAAACCAAACCCCCAAGGTCTTCCAAACTAAATCAGTGAATAAACTAAACACAGTTGCCATATTCTGGTAAGTAGACGTATAGGCTATTAACTGGTTATGGTGGGGTCCTCCTGGGAAGTTCGTATTTACAAGAAGGAAAGTCATGTTTGACGTCAGATGTGTTCTTTCGTCGAAGCAAGATGGCGGTGTATGCTACCTTCTCTTAATTAATGAATTAACCAAAAATGAAAATTCTGTCATCATTTACTCACTCACAAGTTGTTGCAAACTTGTATGAGTTTCTTTCTTCTGCCAAACACAAAGTAAGATATTTTGAAGAACGATTGGAACCAAACAATTATGGAGCACCATTGACTTCCATAGTCAAAGGCCTATGGAAGTCAATGGTGCCCCACAACTGTTTTGTTCCAATCATTCTTCAAAATATCTTCCTTTGTGTTCAACAGAAGAAAGAAACTCATGCAGGTTTGCAACAACTTGAGGGTGAGTAAATGATGACAGAATTTTCATTTTTGGTTAATTCAAATTTTTGGCAGAATTTGTATTTGGGGTGGTATCCCTTTAAAGCTGCATGGAGAAAATACATAACCTGCCAGTGTTCAAAACTATCTGCTCGATTCAAAACGGTAGCTTGTAATAATGTTTTTAACTCCAGTGGTACTGGTGGATTTCCACGGGAGATTCGAGCATGTCTTTGCGTCTTTACGTCACATCTGTACAGATAAAGAAGGAGTCTCGGCCAGCACTTGATATAATTAAACTTATCAATTTGATAGCGGATCCAGAAAGGTTAAAACGAACCAGTGACAACTGGAGATTCACCCTCTGTAAAATGCAAAGATGCACTACGAAGTGGCTACAGAAAAAAAGAGACTGCAACCGGACCCATGCGAAAACAAGGATTGGAAGGACATTACACACGCAATGCTGAAGTTGTTAACATTAACAATTTGAGAATAAATGTATAATTTGCATGGTTTTGCATGATATGATAACTTATAAGCGGTTGTTAGCTTTAATCAGCAATGTCAGAACCAGAAAAAAAGTCGATGTTTCTTACTAGTTCAGATGACATTTTCCGGTGAAAATTCATATGTTGGTCATACTTCCAACCAAAAAGAATAATCTGAATTCTGAATGGCAGTATCCACATCGGCGCAGTGACTGACAGCCTCACACACTTCTCAAACATCGTGTTCATCCGCTCTGTGTCGTCAAGGGTTTTGAAGTACAACGAATTCCTATTTGGTGAGGCTGAATGACTGCAATTATTGCAGAACAGCTATTAAGACAAAGAGGAAAAGCTGTGGAGTGCGTCTTCTACACAAAAATACATAAACTCCATTTTTTAATGGAGTTTTTAACTCCATTAAAAAAATTTTAATGGGTTAAATTTTTTATCCATTTTTAATGGGTTTTTAACTCCATTCTTCTAAATGCATGCTATTAGTCTATATTATGTGCAGGAAATTCAATTAGCTTATTTTGTTGTAAATAAAAAGCTTGACAATAGCACTGCTATATAGCCTATTATATTGAATTCCTCAACATTTTTCACTGACTGACACCTCGCCCCAACTCGTCAAGATCTGGCCCTCTCGTTCGGATTTAGGACTTGTGGTGTCGTTCATACGCGATCAACTCGTATACGAACTTTTCGACATTACTTAACGCACTATTAGTTCATGTCACTTAATTTGTGTTCTGGCGAAGATGAAGGAAAGGTTTTGAACGACATGGGTGAGTATTCATTTTTGGTAAACGAATTAATTACCCGGCCGTTGGCCTATATCTGTTTTGGACGTAATAAAGTACGCGCTCTGATTATACTCTAGAAAACATTGTTATAAAATGTTTGGAGAAAATAGGCCTAAAAGACCTTTACCCTCCCAAAAGTAGGCTAGTCGATGGGACTGAGAGTAAGTTACGCGAATGTATTGTCAGATTGTTATTTTTGTTGCCAGATTCTCCACAGTTCATATTTTGAGTTTTATTAGTGTCAGTGTGCTCTGTTAGAGTATGTGACATCCGCGCCATGAAGTCCTGATTGAAATGCGTCTCACATCTGTGTAGCTCAGCATATGCGCGCTACCTGCGGTGTGCGGAGAAAGAGGTGCGCTGGGCGTTTGCCATCATCCGCGGGGAGGGGAGGGATGAACTTCACTTAAATACTGGAGACATCAGAGAGCCATTCTTACAGCATCGGTCTCAGCATCAGCGCCTGA